TAGAAAATTCCAGCGGCTTTGTCGTTTCATGTGGAGATGGTACTATCATAGCTTCCAATCCCTCTCGCCAAGCTAGCTCCAACCTGCCATCGGTTAGGTAGTGATAGTGTGTGCTAGCATACAGAACATTCGAGTGGCCTTGTTGTTTCATGTAGAAATGATTTTATCATCGCTTCCAATATAATTATGTCATGGTTAGCTCCGACAGCGTCAGCATGCACAACAATGCTAATGCTCGGACTGAGGACGTGATAGTGTGTGCTAGCTAGCATAGAACATTCGAGCGGCTTTGCTCTTTCATGTGTGAGTAGATAGCGTCTCCTGTCATCTCTGACCGTGTTAGCATGCACAACCATTGAGGATCTCCTGTCACCCACAACATCTCAGTGACATTGTCATTGATAGATTGATGCACCACTGTCAGCATGTACGTGCTCCATGCAGTGGTGGTATCTGGAGCTTTACTACTACTATTGTACTAGCGAGCGCACTGGGGTCATGCGCTTCGAGGCTGAGGAGTGAGGTGGGGGAGCTTACACACCAACAAAAAGTCATCATGCAGTGGTGGTACATGTACATGTACACGTATCTGCAGCTTTAGTAGTGAGAATACTGGGGTCATGAGGCAGGGGGGGGGGGGGCGGGGGGGGGGGGAGCTTACATACATGTATATACCAGCAAAAATTCAGCATACATAGAGTGTGCTTACAGATGCGGGCAATGATAATAATGTCTTTGTCTGGATTTTCATGTATGAGGATCGTCATATGGATGAGTTGCATTCTCAGCACATCATGAGGGGTGTTATTATCATCTTAACGCGGGTGTTACAGGAAAACGAAGGCTCATCATAATTATTCTGATGACGTGTATCGTAAAACTGAGTTCTCACAACACCCCACATGCATATTAATCACAAAAATAGTTAGTAGTAGTATTTATTTTATTTACCATCGGATGCCTCAACAGTGATACACACAACTCTTAAGAGGGCCAATAACGGGGTAAGTGGAAAGGAAAGGAAAAGAAAAGAAAAGAAAAAATAGAAAAAATTGGAATCCAGACATCAAGCAGTACAGTAATCAAACACCAAGTCAACTTCAAGCTTAGTACAAGAACTATCAAGATCATCGAGAAACTCAACAGATTCCAAAAAGAAGGTCAAAATACTTCTTAAACGCCACTGGGTCTTTAAAAAGATCCCTGAGTTGGTTTGCAAATGTAGAGGTACGGTGGTGTCTGCGCCACTCGGCAGGCAGTGTATTAAAAAAATTGCGGCACGATTAGAAAAAGAATTTACTCCATCAGTTGTCCGGTGCTTAGATGTGACCTCACTCCGCCTGTTTAAGATCGGTGCCGCCCCTTATTTACCACGACATGCATAGCTCATTATCCACATGTCCTTTGCGTCTCTGTGTTTTTCACTGTTTTTATTTGACATTATCTTTCTCTTTCTTTACGGAGTTGTTGCTGTTCATTTTGCTACTCTTTCTTTTTCCCTCCCCTTACTTTTATTTATCGCCGTGGTTGGCAATCACCCACTCTCTTTAACATTGGCCGGTGTTTCCACCGAGTCTTGAGATGTTGTAATAAATATAAATATATATAATGTGGCAATGGAAGCATTAGAGTGGCTTCTAGTTCTAAGGCCTGTTGTGATCGGTGGAAATAATTCCGTTAGGGTAGACAGTGAGATGATGACATGATTTCTATGAATAAACTGGGCAAAGTTGAGAATTACATAGTGTTCAAATGGATAAATCGCCAATGTGGTCAATAATGGCGTGATGTCGTCCTGTGACTTAGCACCACAGGTAGCTCGCACAGCACGGCGGAACACAGTAGAGAGCCTTTGGCGGTCCTTAGCGGACAGCTTCGTTACAAAACACGAGCAACAGTACAAAAGATCAGGTAGAATGACTGATACAATAAATTGCCTCCTGGCCTTCCTGCTCAATTGCCGAAAGGACCGACGAAGAGCGCCAACCTTAGCACATGTCTTGCGAATTACAAAGTCAATGTGAGGCGACCACGTTAGGCGGTCATCAATGATGACCCCCAGGATTCGGGTGCTGGTAACGCGGGTCAATACCTGATCGTTGAGTATCACAGGAACAGACAGGTGCAGGGGGAGTTTGGAAATGACCATGGCGACAGTTTTGGCAGAGTTGACTGACAACCCTAGGTCCGCAAGATCTAGAGCAAGCACTGAAAGTACCTTGTTGACGGCGTTGACAGCTTCATTTGGCGACCTTCTACTGGCATACAGCGTCATGTCATCCGCGAACATCGGAAGCTTGCAGGAAAGAGCATCAGCTGTGAGCGGCAGCTTCTGCACATATAAATTGAAGAGCACAGGGCCCAGAATGGTGCCTTGAGGTACGCCACTAGTAACTGGTACCAGAGGAGACGTTCCGATGTAGGTAACCACGCGCTGCTGTCGTCCACGGAGGTATGACTGCAACCAAGCCAGGGCTATGCCAGAAATACCCACGGCCGCGATTGCGATGAGAAGTTGCTGGTGTTCCACGGTATCAAATGCCTTCTTCAGGTCAACGCAAACAACAGCTGTATGCAGACCCCCTTCGCGGGCTAGCAGCCAATCATTCGTTACCTTCGTGAGGAGTTGCGCGGTCGACCGGTGCTTCCGGAAACCAAATTGATCTTCATGGAACGGGCAACGTTCTTGGAAAAACACCTGGAGACGAGAGAACACGAGCTGCTCAAGGAGTTTGGCGAGAATAGACGTGAGAGACACCGGGCGGTGATTGGAAGGGCAATTACGGGGGTCTTGTTTTGACTTCAATATCGGGGTGATGTGGGCAATTTTGAACCGGGATGGAAAGTGTCCAGAAGTTTAATCGTGACATTTCAGGTAAGCACGTGATTGAAACACGTCAACATGTCAAAATAAAGTAATGTCGAAATAACCTGTCACATTTCTGACACGGTCACGTCAAAAATTGACAGGGTCATGTCAACCCATCGAAAGGTCACTTCCGGGGTCAACTTTGTTCTAGAACCCCCTTCGTACCTTCTACTAATCTAGGACCGTTTCCATCCGCTCCTCTAAAAGATCGCTGATGCAGGTGCGGAACTGTTTCATGAGGTGGTCCACATTTACGATGCCAACAGAGTCCCGTGCGGGGAGCCGTGTCGGCGACTTTCGACCAGTACCAACGCGAACGCTGGAAGCAACACTCTCAGGTGACTCCGACAGCTCTCCCAGCTCAAACACAGGTCGAGGCTGTACATGTGCGCAATCCTTGCAATTGTCCCGCATAATCCAATACCTCTGCTCCCTAAAAGACCAGCGGAAGGTCTCCTGCATCTGTTTCTTCGACCTCTCCAAGGCCTTCGACACCGTGTGGCACAAGGGCCTGATCGCCAAACTTCGTGCCCATGGTGTCTCCGGCTCCCTACTCGCCTTGATAACTAGCTACCTCTTGGACCGAAATCAGTGCGTCACAGTGAATGGAACCTTATCTGACCCCGAGTATGTGACATCCGGAGTGCCCCAGGGCTCCATTATAGGTCCCCTGCTCTTCCTCACATGCGTTAAAGACCTCCCCTATGCAATTCCCAATATTTCTTTGTTTGCAGATGATACAACTGTCCTTGCTTCCTCCCCATCTCACGCCACCCTCTAGCCCAAAGTTAAGACCTGTATCAACGACATTGTTCACTGGCTGAGCACTTGGTACCTTAAGCCAAATGTGAACAAAAACCGAGCTTTTTTTTATATTATTTTTTACTATTGACACAGCCCTACTGGAAAACAGGTGGAGAACAAAAAGAAACGAGGAAAAGGACAAAACCCCTAGGGGGATGTAGGGACGACGTGCTGAAGAGCTGGGGGCAACTCAACTGACCAGAGGTCTCGGCGTCAGCGTTGCAACTAGGCATCGAAAAATGTGTGTGTGTGTGGGGGGGGGGGGGGGGGGGGTTGCACAAGAACAACTGCAAAAAGAAACAGAAGCTAGAGACTACCACAAAAATAATAACTTGTTGCGAAATAAGCTCCTCCTTTTTCCCCCTCCCACAGATCCAGTGCCCATCTTCCACTTTCCCGATGATCCCGGTCACCCTATCTCTGTAGCGCCCCACCATAAACACCTTGGCATTGTCATAGATTCCGCCCTCTCCTGGTCTCACCATGCTGATCATGTGTCGTCCAAAGTATGCCGATCTGTAGGCATAATGTCAAGTCACTTGTCCCATTTGCCCCAAAATTGCCGGAATATGTTTTATAAATCATACATTCTTCCCCTCTTCACGTACGGCTTCCCTGCCTGGTCCACCATTAACAAAACCCACATAGGTAAATTAGAAGTTCTCCATCGCCGTTTACTGCGCATCACATTTCGTACTGATCGCTATATCTCAAATCTAGACTTGTATGCTGCTGCATCCACTACCACTCTGCAACACTACCTTGATGCTTCCAAGTGCACCCTGGCACATTCAATTTTTCTTGACCAGCACTCTGCTCATTTACAGTGCCTTAATTGGTTCAATTCAGGTGGCACCGCCCGAAGCTGCGTTCATCTCCCCCTAGCTAGGTCTACCCTATTCGTAAATTTCCATTTCTTTTCCTGCTACTCTACGTGTCTCCAACTGCCTCCCAGTGTTAGACAAGCTCCAGATATGCCCAAATTCCGTACCCTCGTCAGACAGCACTTCAGTATCTCCCAGTAAACAAAGTCACAGTCCCGGTCATCAAGGCAAAAAAGCATAGTGTAGGGCCCTGAGCTTCCAAGCTCTCTCGTATGCATTTCCGCGGCAGCGTCAACAGTGCAAGTGCAAGTCGCCCATGCACAAACACAGTCCACACGTTCGCTTATGCTGGACATGGTAAGAGAAGCAGTTTATAGGAGACATAAAGAGAACAAGCACAAACGTAGCTGTAAATCCTTTGTGTAAAGAATGTTTAAAGTGTATTGAGCGATATTTCCGTGGTCTGGGAAAAAGGTGACGGCGCGGTTTCATCGCCGCAACCTCTACTTGCAGGTCATATCCAGTAGCTGCCTCCATTCGCTTCGAACTGCAGCTACGTCTGATAGGCGCTCCAGATCTTCCAGACTCTGCAATCGCCCGCACGCAGCTCGGTGGAGGTCGTCGTCGAGCTTCACCGGCAGGGTGATGCGAGGGCGGCCTCTCCACTTGTGGTCATCACATTGAAAGTAGCTGACCATGCTTAGGACGGCGGGGGCATCACTGGGAAGTCGAAGGATATGGCCAAATAGCCTCCACCGAGCTCTGGTGATGATCCGGCTGATCGGCTCTGCCTTGCACCTGTCGTAGAGTGCTGTTGTTGCGATCTTCTGCGGCCAGACAAAGCCGATCAGTGAACGGAGCTGGCCGCGGTGGAATGCGTCGAGTCCACCCTCGGCAGCTGCCGTGAGTCCCCATGTGCTGGCGTTGTATACTAGCACTGGTAGTACAAACGCATTGTAGAGACGAAGTCTCAGTTCTTCTCCAACGGTACTGCGCCGGCTCCATAGTGACCAGAGCGATCGAAACGCTGCAGCGGCTAGTTGTTTCCTCCGAGAGACATCCTCGCTATCCCCGAGGAGTGAGCCGAGCTTCTTGGTGGTGCGCCACTGTTCCGCCACCCTGTCCAGGGATCGGCCCAGAACGGTAATTTCAGTTTTATCCGGGTTTACCTTCAGAGCCCATCCGTTGAGGACGTCACCGATAACCGGCTCCAGGTCACCCAACCAGCCAGACTCTGTGCTGATGAAATCCGCGTCGTCGGCGTACGCAATTTCAAATGGCAAGCCGAGTTCCGATGATGGCCGAGCCCTGGCAGTAGCAGGGCTACTTACATCCCGCAAAGCTGCCTCGAGATATACCACAAATAGAACAGGGGATTAGGAATCGCCCTGGGGCGTCCCGATAGTGGTGTCGGCGGATTCGGATGTTGCTGTGCCGATGCGTACACAGAAGGACGTGTTGGCTAGTAGGACACGGATGAGACGGATGTCGTCCTCATTCAGGAAGGAATTGAGAACTGCCAGTAGACGGCCCCTGCGGATGCAGTCAAATGCTTTTGACATATCAATGCCGAGGACCACCAATTGCTTCTTGTATTTCTGACAGGCTGCAGCATACCAACGGTGGCTCCAGACCACATCCGCCGTTGACCAGCCTCTGCGGAAACCGCTGTGCGTTGAAGAGAGATATTGTTCTACTTGTGATGATATTCTCTGAAGAGTAATGATGGAGAGGGCTTTGCGCAGTGCCGTCAGCAGGACAATTGGTCGAAGGTTACTCGGAGGTCCAACTGGATTGCCGGGTTTCTGGAGCGGGAATAATGTCCCCTTTCCCAGGTCGATGTGCTCGTGCATCTCAAACATTCCATTCAAGATCGTGGCAAATATTGGCGCCAGAGCATCCCCTCCATACTTGAGCAGCTCCGCCGGGACCAGATCGGGGCCCACTGCTCTGCCGTTGTTGAGTTTCTTAAAGCTGGTAATCACTTCTGCAGATGTAATGGGCTTGTTGAGATGCCTCGGCGCTCCATCAAATGGGTCCATGCCATGGCTGACATCGCCTTGAAACTGCTTCATGCAGTGACTTCTGACGACAGCTGCCGCTTGACCGTCGCTGCCGCAAACCGTCCAGTCTCGTCCGCCACAGCCGGTTTCTGGGCTTTCCGTCGTCTCATGAGGTGCACAGCCTTAAACATGCGTGCCCCGTCCTTCAGCCTCTCAATCTCTGCTGCTTTGGCCTCCAGAAGCGCCTCAGCGTTGGCTCGACACTTGTCTCTGATGGTGTGTTGAAGGTCATTTCGCTGTCTCTTCAGATTGGCCTTGAGTGCTAGGTTGGTGGAGTTGTTGATACTCAGACGAATATTCTTTTGCTTGAGTGATAGCTCTTGTATCGCAGGGTCTGGTTTCTGGTGTCTGCTACGGTTGACGTATCCCAAAACGTCCTTGGCCACGCTGCTCACCGTCTGCAGCACATTGTTGCACGTGTCGAATGGCTTTGTTTTATCCCAGGTACAAGCTGCTGTGTCCAGCTCGTTCGCCAGTCGCCAGTTCGCCAGTTCGCAAGGGAATATGCCCGTGGTAAATGACATGTTGAAAATATGACAAAAAGGGAATGCTATGGATGGTGCCAGGGCCTTGAGGACCCGGTTGGGGATGCCGTCGGGACCAGATGCCTTGCACGTCGGAGGCTTCTTCAGATGACGCCGGACAGTGGCAGTTGTGGTGATGAGGGACGTGAAACAAGCTGAGGGCTCCGAGGGGGTGAAAATAGGGGGAATAGAGAGCAACGGGTCATCTGGCCGAGTCACAGAGGCAAACTGGGCGTTTAATGTGGTAGCTTTGGCCAAAGGGTCAGCCGCCGGCTGAGTCCCTGTGGTGAGTGACGGAATTTCCCGTGATACGTTTCGAGTTCTTGCTTGTCTCACAAACTGGTGAAGCGATGGACGGTGTCTACCCTGCAAAGTAGTTTGCACTGAGCGGATATAAGCTCTGTACTTTGTCCGCGTCAGGGTTTTCACTATATTTCGCTGCTGTTGGTATGCTTGTTTGTTTTGTTGTGTTGGGTACTTCTTAAAAATGCTATAGAGATCATATTTCCACTTGATTGCTGTGCGGAGATGGGCATCAACCCATGGTGGCTGACTGGGCCATGGGCAGCGGTGAGAATACGGCTGCTTTCCGAATGGCCAGAGGTGCTTCTCAAGGGCACTGTTGAGAATGGAAGAAAAGTGCGAAAGCGCATCATTGACGTTGCTGGCACGCAGATTCCAGCTCCAGTCAATGTCAGCGAGCTCTGCATTCACTCTATCCCAGGCGGAAGATGGCACGGATTTAAAGTCATATTCCGGCTTTCCAGGAACATTCCTGAAGTGGTATTGGGGTGCAGCAGCGGGATGTCCGTTTGCAGCAGGTTCCTCACGATAAACAGCATCAGTAGGCAGTAGGAAGTGACTGAGGATCTGTGCGTGGTCAGATGCACCAAGAGGAGCAAGAGATGTAACAGAGAGTAGTAGGTGAGGATGATCCGTGCGCACAACGTCAATACACGATGTTGAGCCATGGGAGGTAAAGTGTGAGGGGAATGTCACCATTTGCTCAAGGCCAAAACAAAAGGAGAGGTTGCGGAACTCCCTTCCAGCACGATTCGTGGTGTCCCTAGGAGACCAGTCAGAGTGGCGAGCATTCAAGTCTCCTGCAAGTACAATCGCAGAATTGGGGAGGCTAATGTTGGACAGACAGTCCTCTAGGAGGTCACTAAATTCCTGGACTAGGGAAATGCTGTCTCCAGGGGGTCTGTAAACAGAGCTGATAATGAGGGGGAGTGAGGGAAGGATCACTGGCCGCAATTCGAGCCAAACCGCCTCCAGATGATCTGTCTTTCGTTGAAGTGTCTTTCGTTGAAGTCTCTTTCGGTGAGTTGTCATTCGGTGAATGGTCGGTAAACCAGTCCACAGCGCTCAAGGTCGAAGCGGCGCTTGATGGACATGAACGACCTGTCAGCTACAAGAGTAGCAACACCGCCATAGCCTCTTGCTGGCAGGTTATCAGAGCTGGTCGTAGGTGGGCGGTCCAGGCGGTATGAAGACGTCTATGGCAGCTGTCAGCCACGTTTCACATAGGCAGATTATATCTGGAGAATACTGCTCACAGACTTGACTAAGCTCAGCTAACTTATTTTCTACGGAGCGGCAGTTAAGTGAGAGCACTAAGAAGGATGAAGGTAATTGGGCAGGTTGATTAGGAGTTTTAGTAGTTTGGCGTCCAGAATCAGGAAGGAATGGTGGTGCAAGTGGAATATGACCAATAGATATAGAAGAATATGTAACGTAATGAGGGGAAGGGTGTGATGAGCTTGCGTGGGGCACAAAGGGTTGGGCAAGAGGATTTAGCTGTTGGCTAGGTGACCGAGGACCCATCACTTGCTAGCGGAGTCGGCATAGCGCCATTTGCGGACGGTGTGCGCAATGGTGTCGGGCCAGAATTCCTTGTCAAGCAGCGTTTGCTCAAACTCTTCCGCGACAGAAACGCGTGCATAGCAGGTACCAAAGTATTGGGTTTCGGCAATTGTGCATGCGTATACATCAACGCCCCTATCAGCGCACCAGGTTACAATGGACTGTGCCTTACTTCCAGGACTAATATTCCCGACAAAGAAGGCACATCGCTTGGGAAGATGTGTGCCAGTGAGTGCGTTGGGGTTGGGGTTTTCTGTGGCCATTTTTCTGTAGACAGACACAATATTGGATTTTGTTGCCCGGGCAATGGGATCGCTGTGGGCCGCTGATTTATTGCTCCTTCGCCGCTGTTCTTGCCAGTTGTTCTGATGGGGATCGCCTTCTGTGCTCCCAGCAGCACCCTGAGTACCCTGAGTACACGTGGGCTGTACTGGTGCACCACCGGCGCCTGCTGTTGTAAGTGCGCCCCCAGTTGTTGCATTTCTACCAGTGTGTACGGGTATGTTCCTGCGTTCCATGTGGTTGGTGTTAGGTACGGTGGCCCTGCTATAAGTAGTGCTAGTTGACCTGCGGTGTAGAGTGCGTGCATCCTCTTCTGGCTGTGTGCTATTCGTACTCACTGTACGAGTATAACGGGATTGCATGTCTGGAGTGTCGCAGTGTACGGGTTTGGATGAACCATTGTACTGCTGCTGGTGAAGCTGTTGCACTTCCCCTTTCAGCTCCGAAATTTCCAGCTTCAAGGACAAAATTATGCTATCCCTGTCCTCCCTCATGGAGGCAATCTCCCCCGCCAAGGCCTGGATAGTGTTAGCAAGGCTATCCAGCTTAGAGTCATTAATCCACGACGTACCAGTGTCAGTGACGGGCTTCACTCCAACGCCTTGCTTCCGCAGTGCCTGCACCAGCTCTGGCCGGGCGAGGCTCGAAGGGGAGTCCAGGGACTTGCGTTCAGCGATGCCGATTAGCTCCTGGTACCCAATCAGGGCAAGATCAAGGTTCTGGTCCAGGGACATTCTTAGTTTCAGCAAGGACAAAGGACAGGTAGAAGGGTAAAACTGCTGCGGGGGGGGGCTCCCGGAAAGCTGTTCCGAGGAGCACCAAAAAAGTCAACCACCCCCTGAGGTTCAAAAATTTACTGGTTTTCCCATTATATATAATGCTGAATATACTGCCAGCATTATCCGCTGGACCTTACTAAGAGACCACTTTTCTTTGAGGATTCTGTTTGCAGGGGTTCTCATGTTTCTTTATTCTACTCCAGGCAACTCATGCAGGTTGGTACAATAGTTGTGGCATCATCAAGCTCACGTGCTGTGTGGACGGCCAGGTCACCATAGGCATAGGGCTTGAAAATGATGACGTCAAAAACTGCCAGTCAGTAGTAAATCGACATCAGATTTCTATTTTGAATCCACTCAGGTGTGACTTTGCCTCAGTATGTGGGGGGGGGGGCCTAGCAGCCCACTCATGTCGTATGCAGGTGTGACTTTTACTTCGCCACCAGTTGTCACCCCGCCCCCAGTAGCCAAATCAGTCAGTTTCACTGGCTACATCATCTTGCTGTGAGTAAGACGGCTTGAAATGTGCTTGGATCCATATAGTCCATCAGCCAGTGGTGCCAAAGTGAGTCCCCTGTTGCACTTACAAATCTAACACCTGGAACTGACATCAATCGACAGCAAAAGCATCACTGAATCCGACCTGCCTACTTTCCCTGGCGAAACTCTTGCACTCCTTTTGCAGTGCGCCTTGGAAGTTCGACAAATTTCTTCTTCTTCATCAGCCATTACGAGGTTTTCCATCCGTTTTATCAGGACATCCAATGCGTCTTCAGTGAAAAACGTGGAGTTTTGTCAACGTTTGGTGTGGTTTTCCGTGGCGATCGACCTAAAATCGCGAAATAAATCGCCGTCGATTTGAGCAGAGGTGAGTTGGCTTGGAGCACGTAAAGATTCAAAAAATATGTGTACATGCGCACCGGGAAGAAGATGAAGATGCTCACCATTTTCAAATAAGTAATTCAAAAAACTACATGACTATTGTACTGCAATTGTTGTAGTTACTTGTTTGCAACTACAATGGTATCAAGTAGATAATCAAGCGAGGTACAGAGGGATTGATGGCTGATCAAAGCCCAAGGGACCAGCCCGAGGGCTTTGATCAGTCATCAAGCCCGACTGTACCTCGCTTGAATATGCTTCAGACGATCCCCAACAATTTTTTTGATTTTGAATTCAATCGCTTTATTCTTTGGGTGATCTCGAGTGTGGTAGATAGTACTTCGAAGTAGTACAACTGTAACTGTACTACTACCTGGTTTCACATGTTCAAAGCAGCCTTGCCTTTATTTCGACTGTTTGCTGTCAGCATCCAGAGCCATGGCGTTTGCTAGTTGGTCGTAATGGAGAAGAGAACTGCAGGGCATTGACTCGATGTACAACATGCATCGCCGCAGATTCCTTACTTTTAGCTCTCCACTTTCCTTAATTTTCCAGGGATCAGGACCTTCCCAGGGCGATTCCATTCAGGGTGGAAGCGTAGATCACTTTTGCCAAACAGCAAAAACTACGCTTCAAACCTGCTTGACATGACTCGGGGTGCATACTTCGGAAACCCGAA